TATTTCTGCACTTTGTGTTGTTCTCTGAATTCGAGTTTCTTTGGGTTTCTGTTGAGAAGAGTGACTCATGTTTGTAATATGTTCTGCGTGTGTTTCAGCTTCCAATAGCTTTCTTCTGGTTACTGGAAATGGGATCCATCTACTTACCAACCTCTAGTTAGCCCTTACTAGTGGCCTCCTCTTTCTTCCTTCCTTCCTTCCTTTCACTCATTCATTCTTTTCTTTTTTCCTAGTCCTATTATATCTTTATTTACATTTTTTGTCTCTTCTTTTTCATTTCAATGAAATTTTGGAAGAATCCAGGACATGGATATGTGCACTTAATCCATCTTCAGGAGTGGAAATATCTGGGTATATGTGTCCTCAGAAATATTTTTATTATGAATAAAAATATGTATAGAATGGAAACTTTGGAAAATGCAAAAAAGGCCCAGAGAAAAATTAAAAAGCAACCAAACTCCATTACTCTATAATAAAATTTAAAACGTTAAGATGTTGGTGGATCATTCTTGATGTTTTTAATGTCTCTAAATAAAATTTTATTAAAAATTTGGATCATAGTTTATATTTAGTTTTATGTTTCTAAAACTCATAAAATGTAAGGCATATTTCCAAAAGCCTTGAAAAATGTGATTTAATAGAAATAGCTATGGAGTGCTCTGTTATGGTTTGGGGCTTATTTACAAGGTAAAACAATATAATACAGGACATATATTTTATATGATTATTTATAATAATCACCCAAGGGATGATATACAAAAGAGTGCAGGAAATCTGTCCACAAACTATAAACCAAAAATCCAGCTGAGGGTCTGGAGCCTGCAGTAATGTCCTGCATGAGTCCACCTTAATACATAGAGCTCATAACAATGCCTCACACATATCCAACTGGAGGTCCAGATCTCATAACAATATCTCATGCAGGCCTGTTTCATGGATCTGCACTGGGAAAGCCCAAGGTCAGTGGTGGAATCTAGAAAGTCTGTGCCAGAGGGATGAAGGATCTGTGCTAACAGGCTGAGGGATCTGCACTGGAGCAAGGAAGTGATGCTCAGAAGAACCAGAGCTTCCCCAAAAGGTACCACAGCCATCCTCAGCAACAGTGAGGTCCCGAGCTCCTCCGATGATCAAGATGGCCGAGTTCCCATCACGGAAGCCAATGCAGCAAGCTTCTCCAGGAGACCAGTACTGCACCATCTTCCCCTCTGGAGCCAGGAAGCAATGCACAAGTGAGGACCAGAGCTTCCCAAAGTGAACCAAAGCTATTCTCAGTGCCAACAAGGTCCCGAGCTCCTCGTAGTATGAAAACAGCCAAGTTCATTAGGAAAGCCAGCATGATGAGCTCCTCCAAAACAACCAACAGCTCCTTACAGCTTCCACCAGCTCCAACAGCCTCTCTCAGCTCCCAGTAGCCTCACTTCCTGTTCTCCATTCTGCCTCTTATGCTGGGGCAACAATCCTCAGATAAGCCTCGCACACCCACCAGCACCACGCTTACTCAGTTCGGCTGGGAGTTATAAGCTGACCACCAGTTTTCAATCCACTACATGCTCCATCTGCATATATGTTTTAGAAATTAATGATCAATGCTTTTCATTAATATACTATTTCCTGAAAATGTAATACAGTCCATGATTCTTCGGAATGAAGTCTCTTTCCCATCCCTGACTGCCAGGACCCGTTCCTCTTCCTGAAGAAAACAAACCACTTGATTCTTTGGGGAAGATAAAGTCTCTAGAACTGGGTCAAAGGATAGATACCATTCTAGCTCCTGATATATGCATGGCTTCTCCAGAATTATATAATGTTCACCGCTTCCATGGAAAAACATTTCTTTCTCAAAATGTTTGTCAATCTGAAAGTCAGTGAACTTTTTATTACACAGCTCTTCAGCCTCAAGGTCTGAGATGTAGATGTAGTTAAGACCATTTCTTCATATGTTTATTACCCATTAAACACCTTGCACATGAACGGTCCATTTCTTGCTTTAAAAGTCTTCGCTTCCGAGGGGACCCACTTCTGCCTCCCTCACATCAAGCGCAAGCCAGGCCTTCCCCACTCAGCAGGTCCCTAGCTCCTGTAACTAATGAGCAGCGCACCCTCCACGGCCTACACCCGTGTCCGGTATAGATGAGATCGCTGGTGATGCTCAAGCTTTCTGTCTCGGAGGCCACCCCCAGCTTCTGACCAGAAGGAAGAGCGGCAGCTCAGAGAGGCAGCGGAGATGCTGGGAGGCTGGTGTTTTCCGATGTGTGCGCACCTGAGCTCTCGCAGACTGCAGGACCTGGAGCCCATCACCCGGCTTCTCTGCGGCTCCGCCCGCTCCCATTCCCCGCTGACGCTCGCATCTGCACCTCGACCCGCCCCACCTCTGCAGTCCGGCTCCCTCTCCAAGTTTGGTTAAGTGCCCCTCCTTCGAGGACCTCACAGCGCCTGAGGAGCTCGTCTCTCACCCTCATGGTGCAAGGAGTGCTGCATGCGTCTCCAAGCCCTCTCAGAAGCTCCGGTGTCCCCCGAAGCCGGGGGCGGCGCACGCGCTTGGGTAGGGAGAGCCGCCCTGACGCCAGGGCACACACATCCGCCACAAACAACGTCCCCACAGGACAGCTACTCAGATCCTCTCCATGGCTCGCCAGGAACCTTCTAAGCGCTGAGCGTCACGGCTCTTCTCTGTGCCTACTTTTCCAGGGTTACAAGCTCTGCCTGTTTCTTCCCCACATAAAGAACAAAGCAGTTTCTCCTGCACCCAGGCCTGTCCCCAGCGTGGGTCGGCCGGGCGGTCCCACCTGGCCCTCAGGCGAATCTCACACCCCACTTCATCCTCTCCTCCCTGCTTCCCTTCCGAACCCCACAATTTAATTTGCCGTCGTCTCTGCTCCTTGTGCCGCCCACGGAGCCCCACCCTCTGTTGCAAGCGTTCCCGCGGTGACTCACACGCCCTCATTTTGTAAGTGGGTATTTGTCACTTTCTCTGTACCACTGATTTGTATCAATCTGTATCTTCTGAATCTCCACAACTGAGAGCTGTTCGATAAATGAGAGAGTGCAACGCTGACCCTTAGACTATTTTTATTTCTCAATTCCACCTTCACAGAGTAAGTGCCTTGGCCCTCCGCCAGCGCAGGAACGACGCGGCCAGTCCCTGCCCACCTCGAGGGCGGCTCCCCAGCCCGCGCCCACCGGCCTCCCCGACAAAGGCGGCCGCGCCTGCGGGCCAGGCAGCAGGTGACTGCGGATCCGCGCAGGCCGCACACGCGGAGGGGCTGCGCTTCCGAG